AGGAACAATGGCAGATCATGTTAGCTGGTTGGGTCTGGCTGATTCTGCTGGGAAGAATGAAACTGGAGAACTTCTGCAGTTCCAATGTGCACTGGAAATGAAAAACACACACAAGATGGGTTTACTTCCACCAGATTCCGGTATGGTCTACACTACATAGAGTTTGATTTCTGTTGATAAAACCGAGTGCACCAACACTCAGAGCTCCTCAGCATTTATACCATCTCTCTAGCCAGAAGAAGGTTTCTGCCCCTGTCTGCTAGCTGGCAGAAGGCATGTGTACACCCCCCTGCCTCCTGCTGGCTGCCACAGTCCCTTTCACAGCTGGTGACTTGTTAAGGTGCACATTTTATGTTGCTTGCAGAGCTTCATGGAGCTTCCAGGAGATATGTGTGCACTTTGGTGGCTTAGTGACTTCCAAACATTGTCTGTTGCAGCAAAATTGACAAACATAGACAATCCCTCTAAGTATTTAACTTCTCACCCGTATAAACCAGGTGCTAAGTGACTTAATTTTCTTATCACCCATGTTACTTTAGAAAATAGGACTTAGGCTCCTAAGTCGCAAATTTTTTCAGAATGTCTTTTTCCTATTGTCTTTGCTGGTTGCAACCGCATGCATTGCTGTACTTAGTCAAGATAAACAAAAATCATTTGCGTCAAAGGCCACGTTGATAAAATCCCATATTTGGAACAGTTAAATTTAGCAGGGAGTGCCACATTTGCTTATTTGCATTTGATCATTTGTTGCTTGAAGACCAGATCTTAGAGTGTAGCAAGTTGAAATATACTGGTATCTTACTCTTTAAAAATCTAGTTGACTGATTGCTACCTGCAGAGAAGTACAACTGGTCAAACCTCCAGGTACTTGCTTAATGGAATTTTCACAGCCAAACTTAGAATGAGATTTTAACCTTGTCTCCATACCCAAATCCCAGTCTGATTAAACATTTTCACAGGTCATGTGTTACTATTCACTCAGAGATACCCTTGCAAAAGGTATTGACCTCCTACTCTGCATTTCAAAAATACACACACAAAGGAACCTTGCTGCTATTTATTTTTTAATCTATCTGGATCATATTCTTGCTCTCATCTTAAAACATAAGTGTTCATGGAATGGGTTCAAGTGGTTACATGATTTGTGACCCATAGAAAGTCATTCAGCTTCTCTAAGATACAAAATCACCATCTGAAAAATAGATAGAATAATATCTCCTTACATAAAGGACTACTGAGACTTACATGATGTGTATAAAGATGCTTTAAGAATCTTGGTTATAAAAGGAATTTAGATCATGCATGTTTAAAGCATGCATTATTATAATGTTTACCTGGTTTCTCTTCTTCTGGAATAGGTTCTTGTTTCTTTTTCTGAGAAAATCTAAAATAAAGAAATGAAGAGAAAAAGTAATCATTTTTGTGTTCTAAATCAGGGATGCTCAACCTGCAGCCCATGGGCCAAATGCAGCCTGCTGAGCCTTGAAATCCAGCCCATGGGGCTCCCCAATAGTCAGGAAATTTGGCGGCAGAGAAGCCGCAGCAGTTAATACTACCACCCTGCTCTGCTTTCAGAATCTCAAGCCCTGAGCCATATGTTGGAGCCAGGTCACAACCTTACAGCTGCATAGCCAGATTGGGGCCAGGCCATGCCCCCTTCCCTCTGTGCAGCTAGGCTGGTGCTGAGCCACAGCCCCTTCCTTCCTCAGGTTCAAGCCATGCCCCCTCTCCACCCCTTGGGGAGCGAATCCCCTTGGGGAGAGATCAGGGCTGAATCATGTCCCCTCACCCCCTGTGGGGCTGGGTTGAGTCTGGGACAAACCCTCTTCCCCCACACAACTGGGTGAAAACTTGGCTGCCTCCTGTCCCTCTCAGCATGGCTGCTTGGGCCCCCGCTGCGACTGCCTCAGGTGTTGGATTGGATCCACCAGTTGGATCTGGCCCACAGAGGAACTGGTCATGCCCGTCCGGTCTGCCAGGTGAAAAGGTTGAGCACCACTGTTCTAAATGGTAAGTAAAGCTGGTGGCCATGAAGTGACAGAACTGGTCTGCCACTTCCCTGTTCACTTTCTGCATCCATGTGTATTTTTATTTTCTAATTATTCTCCTCTTCCTATTTTAGCTGTAGTTCCATAAAAACTATTGAAAGCTGGATCACTGCACAGTTTTACCAAGTCTCCTTAACCTTTGTCCTGTGTGCAAGCCTGAGCTTCCATTGAGCAATGCCCACTGAGCAGTGACTGCCAACTGTGTCACTGCCAATTCAAAGAGAATGGGAAGATAACTTTTATTAAGATTGTTTGATCTGAAATGCTCTGAAATGGCCATTGCTCTGAAATGTACTCAGCATGTCTCCAGCCACCTGTACGTGAGATTTTCAGTTTGCTTTTGAGTGATAAATATCCATTGGGTTATATTTTGAGAGAACCTGGTTGAAGAGCTCCTTCCTAAGTGATGCCCTCTGGAGGGCAGACCTGCTGTGATCTGGGAAATTTGTGTCTGTGGCCTCTCCTCTGTGTTTGTTGTCAGGGACTGGGGTTCAAGTTGTAGGTTGGCAGTTGCAGTCTGTAACATCCCCATAACAAGATCCTTTTCTGCAAGGAGATAAAAACAAGTAGAAAGCAGAAGAATTGTAGTCATTCCAACAAAAAAGAGAGAAGTTTTAACCATGCTAATTCCCCCCCACCCTTCCTTGTAATCCCCACTTGCTTGTTTTTGTTAATTTTTCATCTTTTATTTCCATTCATGTAGCATTAATCAACCTGACAGGGTCCCCTCTTTTGTGTCCTGCCAAATTGAAAATGCCCCTGGAGATGATGTAGTTCTCATACCATACCTACACAATACCATGTCATCTGATTGCTATATTGCTATGTTCTATTTGCCCCCAAATCTTACTTTTACCTTCTGTGGTGTCTGATTAGTGGCTTGCATCCTCCTGCCCTTGTATTTGAATCCTTCCATACTCCTACATATCAAGCAAACCTTCTCATGATATCCTGCTCCTGGAGAGGTGGCATGTGTAATGCTCCCTTGCTATAGGCAGATTTGTGGAGCCATAGACTACAGTGCTTCCATGATAAGAATGCTACATCAACACCTACTATGACTTCCAAGGGAAAATAACTTTTCTCCCACTCATTAATTACATCCATTGAAAAATGTACCCTTATAATTAATACAATAAATACAATGTGGCTAAGAATATTTATCTTCCTACCACTGCATTTTAATATTATAATCCAGTACTGCAGTCTTCATTTAGCAACATCAGCATCAACTGCAGTGGCAGCTGCAGCCTATAACAGAGAACCAAAAATGTTTAAACACAGGGCCCTAAAAGCCATCTGAAGCCAAACTGAAGCAGATTCATAAGGTTGTGTCTACACTGTTTCTGAAGTTATTCTGGCATAGTCACCAAATAACATTTCCTTTCCAGTTGCTCCTGCTTGGTATGTGCTAAAACCTGAATATTAGGCAGTGTAGCTGTCTTAGGGTGGCTCTGAGCATATGCCCCAGTGCTGCTTTTAGGCTCCCTGTCTTGAGCATGCTCTTTGGCATGCACTCAGGGCCACTCTAAACTGGCTATAGTGACCCATTTCCAGGATTTAGCATGGGTTTTGTCAGACTGTGTGACAGGGTGCTCCTAGGCAGTGGCTCTGAACTCAGCTCAGTAGCGTTGTAGAAAAGCCTGTAGTGACCTGACTTTCATAGATACCAAGCACCAAGAGGTTAATGGGAAGCCAGCACATATGGATATCTGGTCACTGAGGTTATTTTGAAATTGTTAACCTGTACGTTTTATATGAGAAAAAACTTTTGATTTAACTGTGGATACTCATTGATAACTGGCAGTGAAGCTCCAAAAGCAGACACTGGACAGAAGGAGGGAATGAAATAAAAAACTGTTCGTGACCTGAGAGGCAAATTTTAGAAATCTATCCATCTGTCCAGTTGTCCCATCACTGGTAGTGTTCAGGCACCTGAACACCAAATAAAATTCAAATACTTAGGTCTTCATCAGTTACTGCAAATGAAGTAATTTATGGTTTATAGGGTTATTAGAAAACTCTAACAAATGAAGAGATGTTTCTTCCACAAGTATGCAACCCTGAAGTCTGATCAACTTGCAGTCTCTACAATATACAATGGGAATAAACTTATAGAAATGGTGAGGGTGTCAAGTTGTCAGGATAGAAGTAGGAGCCAATTCTTCCCATTGAAGCTTCAAGCCTCTGACTCCAGGTTCTTCACACCTCTCTGGCCAGCTGTGAGCAGCCATTCCTGAATAGCCATCAACGAGTCTGTCTGCAGGATCTGACACAGCAGCTCTAAAATCTGTTGGCAGAAGAGCAAAGTGAAAAAGTATCAGCATGCTCAGGTCAAAGTGACACGGCCTGTACCTGCAACAGATGAATAGGAGGTCAGGGTGGTATGCACTGTTTGTCTTGATACTACACTAATGTGGACTTTGTCTTGCAGTTTTACTGAGCTACATTTGCCTGCTCAGGGGCTAGCCCACATGTCTGAAGATGAAATAGAAGACCTAGAGGATACTGTATGTAAGTCTACTGCCTCCAAGTGTGGGATATGCACCACAAAGGACTTGGAACAGGTCCTGCGCAGTGAGCTAGTGTTTGAACTGGACTAGACTTGTCA